CCTGCCCCTCACCTGCCGCTGTGCCGCCTGCCCCTCACCTGCTCCTGTGCCTCCTGCCCCTCACCTGCGGCTTTGCCGCCTGCTTCCTAACAGTCTGTGCCCCAGGCGTTGGGAACCCCTGCTCAAAGACAGGTGGAGAGGCTGAAGGAAAGCAGGAGGTCTGGGCTAGAGCATAGGGGGGACCTGAAACTGAAGGGTTAGGAACTTACTTGAGAATTGCATGGCTCTTGTAAAATCTGGCTGGACTCCATGAAATGATTTTAAAAACGCACTTTTTCAACTTTTGCCTTTGCCTGCAGTGAAGACATGAGTCTTTGTTTCGTGTGGATGTTTCTAATGTTCAAAAGGGAAAAAATGCTTTGCAATGAAACTCTTTTATCTCAGTCTTGGAGCATTGATCATTCTAGATGGTGTTGGAACAGGACTTTGGAATGCTTGCAGGGTGAACCTTTGACCGGTGTTGGTCAGGGAATGACCTAGTTTGGCAAAACAGAGAGTTTTGAAATATGGAACTTTCCCCAGGCATAAATTATCATTTTAAAGTCGTCAGTCAAAGCCCAGTAGGCCTGGGATGGTGTCTTGATGACTCGCCATGTGTTGATACACGGAGTAACTGAGGCGCCCTCACGCAGTTGTAGCCTCGTGGGACTGAACGGTGTGAAATGGACTAAGAAGATGAGAGGCTGGGATGACTTCTCTACTGGGGAAGGGTGCAGGGAGGAGGCCTGGGTTACTGGCAGCTCTGCCCCACAAAGGCTGGTGGCAGTGCCAATCCTGAAAGCTGGCCCTGCCCTCCTGCAGCAGCAGTGTACACGTGGAATGCAAGCACGTGCACGAGCCACCTGGGTCCAAGGCCAGCCATGGGCTCCCACATCTGCCACAGTCCCTGCCACAGCATGGGAACCCCTCATGCCAACTTGGAACTTTTCCTTTCAATTATTGTTCACGTCTGTCTGCTTTACTTGACTGTGAGCCGCTCCTAGGAAGGCTTTCTCTTTCACGTTGCATGTAATGGGCATTTAGTAAATGGCTAATGGCAATACGTCTTTATTATAAAAATATGGTAATGGAGACTTGAAGCGGTAACATGATGATCTCAAGGTTTACTGGCAAGGACCAAGCTGGAACGAAGCTCGTCATTCCTATTCTGGACGGTGTCTTCTTGTCAATATCCCATTGCCTCTCAGTAGGAGAAGGATGCAAGATGACAGAGCATTTATAACTGTCATTTGTCACTTTCGTTGTCACCTGACACTGGTGGTTCTTCGCTGGGAGCATGTGCCCTCCCTCCACCTCAGGAAACATTTGGCAATGCCTAGAGACGATTTTGGTGTCCCTAACGGGAGAGGGGATGCAACTGGCTGTAGTGGGCAGAGGCCAAGGGTGCTGCTAAACATCCTACAATGTGTTGGACAGCCCCTCACAAAACAGTTACTATCTCCCCTCAATATCAGTAATGCCAGAGTTGAGAAACCCCAATCTCACGTCAGCATTAAAACCTTGTAATGAAAAGACGACATTTCAGGAACAGCAAGAAAAGGGTTGTAGGACACGGCAAGCCATGCCCTTTCTTTTCCTTCATTTTTTACTATTTGATAATTATATTTGTACATATTTATGGGGCACATGTGAAATTTTGTTATATGCATGGAATGTGTAATGATGAAATCAGGGTATTTAGGATATCCATCACCCAACCGTTTTATGTGCTGAGTACATTTCAAGTCCTTTTCTAGCTATTTAGAAAACTAAAATACATTGTTGTTAACTATAGTCACCCTACTCTTCTATCAAACGTTAGAGCGTATTTCTTCTATTTAACTCTATGTTGGTACCCATTCACCAACCTCTCTTGGTCCCCACCCCCGACCTGCACACCCTTCCCAGCCTCCAACAACCACCATTCTACTCTCTACTGCCATGAAATCAACTTTTGTGGGATTATGCAATATTTGTCTTTCTGTGATTGGCTTATTTTACTTAACATAATGACCTCCAGTTCCATCCACGCTGCTGCAAATGGAATCATTTCCTTCTTTTTTATTATGTCTGCTTTCAAAGCAAGTTTTGATGGGAGAGAGAAGGAGCTCCTAGAGTTGGTTGGCCATGCCTGAGAAGGGGTCTCAGTGAACTGATGCTGCCGTGGCCGCCCCTGTCCCACGCAGAAGGCTTTCGGTCACAAAAAGTCCAATACATCTCTCACCCATGATCCACTGAAAAGAAAATAAACCTCGGTGCCCCCCAAATCATAAGTCACATGGAAAAGTCAAGACGCGAACTGCATTCAGCAAACCTCCCTCCCATTCTATTCCCAAATAAGATACCGACGAAGATTTTAAAAACCTACGTCCCTCACAATCTGCCCACAAGGAAATTCCCTGTGGAAAAAGGATGGGCAGAAGTCAAAGCCATTCCCTGCTCACATGAGACAAGTGCCTGCTTTGCTGTATTGTTTCACTGAGCCAGACTAAGTGACTATTCTTGAAAATTGCATATTTGATGAAAGGCTAATGGGAAACTCAAAAGAATGCACCCATTTGTCTCTTTATCTACCTACGACCTAGAAGTCCCCTTCCCTCCTTCAAGTTGTCCTACCTTTTCAGACCAAACCAATGTACATCTTGCACAGATTAATTGATGTCTCATGTTTCCCTAAAACGTATAAAATCAGGCTGGGCCCTGACCACCTTGGACACATGTCCTTAGGACCTTATGAGACTAGGTCCTAGGCATATCCTTATTCTTGGTGAGATAAACCTTCTAAATTGACTGAGACTTATTTCACGCATTTTTTGGTTTACAATCTCAACTTCTGACTTGTCCTTGGGTCTCTGCAGACTAACTTCTAGATTCTTCCTAAGACTTTGTCTAGTTATTCTTGATTTTCATCAGGCTTCAAATGTTCAAAAACATTTTATTTCATTGGAAAAAATTAAGATAAAAGTAGTCGACATCAGAATTTTAAACTGCAATGCATTAGTTGAAAATATATTTTTAAGAATATCTATGGTTGAGCTGCGCGCAGTTGGTTCACACCTGTAATCCCAGCACTTCGGCAGGCTGAGGCAGGCTGATCAACTGAGGTCAGGAGTTTCAGACCAGCCTGACCAACATGGAGAAACCCAGTCTCTACTAAAAATACAAAAAATTAGCCAGGTGTGGTGGTGCGTGCCTATAATCTCAGCTACTCGGGAGACTGAGGCAGGAGAATCGGATGAACCTGGGAGGCAGAGGTTGTGGTGAGCCAAGATCATGCCATTGCACTCCAGCCTGGGCAACAAGAGTGAAGCTCCATTTCAAAAAAGAAAAGAAAAGAATAGAATACGTATCGTCAGTTTAAAAGAAAAGTCTATTTAATCTCAAAGAGTTTCTATGTAGTTAAGACGTTTATTCTACACCTGGCACGGTGGCTTATGCTTGTAATCCCAGGACTTGGGAGGCTGAGGCAGGTGGATCGCTTGTTCCCAGGAGTTCCAGACCAGCTTGGGCAACATGGTGAAAACCTATCTCTACAAAAAATACAAATACTAGCCATGCAGAGTGACGTGCAGCTGTAGTCCTAGCTACTCAGGAGGCTGAGGTGGGAGGGTCACACGGTGACTGCAGTGAGTTGAGATCACACCACTGTACTCCCTCCCATATGGACAACAAAAGTGAGACTTTGTCTCAAAAAAAAAATATTCTTCTGTTATTTGAAAAGACAAAATTTTTTTGAATCACGATACTATTTCAAAGACTTTAAAGATTTCAGTAACTAGCCAAATCAAATTTAGGAAAATATTATTTGGTTTTGCAATGAAGCATTTCTCTTATTTAGAGCCTTTCTGTTTCTCTCAATAGGGTTGGAGAGTTATTCTTATCTTCTTTTTATTGGGGCTGAAGAAGAGAGATGGGGTTTCATGGAATAAACGATGCAAGCTACAAGGACCTCATATAATCTCACACATTCATTTTCCGTGAAAGCCGTTCTTGGCAATAATTTGCCATTCTATGTTTGAGCCTCATAAAAGCAATGCATCATAAATATGCACTTTTTGGGTAGCTGGAGTGTACTTAACTTTAAATGGGAAACTCATAAGAACAGCTAAGAGCTCTTTATGCCAAGATAGGTCAAATGGCAATAGATCAAATAAATATATCTCAATAAATGCCTTCCAGATTGAAATCAGCACAGTTCTTCAGCACTTTACAAAGAGACCTGTTCTCAGTTCACATTCCCTTATTTCCCTGTCCCCTGATCTTCCAATTTTTTTTTAAAAAACTATGATTCCATTTATAAACACAAGAGCTTATTTTGCTTTTCTATGAAAGATTGAGAGCCTCCTCTGAACCATAAAATTATCTTTCTCCAAAATGTATTCAAATCAGGCGTACTGAAAACCATTGTTAGGATTTTTTAGGGGACCGCACAGAAATCCTCAGCACTAGTATGTGTCTTATGTTCTAAATGAGGAAACTGAAGCCCAGAGAGATGCAGCAGCTTGACCAAAGACCTGCAGATGGCTGGTGGCAGTGCACAGACTGGTTCTGCTCAAGTCACATGATGCGTCAACCTGGGAGTAGGTCTGGATGGCAGCAGACGTGGATCAATATGCCCTCCGTACACTTTCAGACCTTCTTCAAGGCCAAAGGGAAGGCCTTCATGGAAATATAATTATGTGAACTCCCCCAAAATTATTTCACCAACTTTCCTGCCTATAAAGGACAGGCCCTACCACTGGAAGCCTCCCTCCCAGACAAAACCACCCTTTCCTTCAGAGATGAGACCGGCTTTGCTTTTGTTGACCGTCATGTGGCCTCTAGACTTGTTACTTCCTAGCTCCCCATTCAGATTTGTGTCCTGGGATCTCCATTCGGATCTGTGCCAGAGATTGGAGTTTTATCTTTACTCAGATCAGTCTCCCCCAACATCTGGGGAGCAGAGTTTTTATGGACAACTTGGTAGGTGGGGGGATTAAGTCATCCCAGGATTTTGGGACCCCAAGGCTGGCAGATCATTTGAGGTCAGGAGTTCGAGACCAGCCTGATCAACATGGTGACACCCTGTCTCTACTAAAAATACAAAAAGCAAACAAACAACAACAAAAAATAGCCAGGCATGGTGGCGCGTGCCTGTAGTCC